TATGGACACTTGTGTTCGATAAAACTGACATAACTCAAGTATTAAATGGTCATAAATTTGTTTTTGGGCAGTTATTTGCCATAATGTGATCGTCCAGCAAGATGCTAAAGAAGTCTTTAAAATCAATGGTCTATCATCCTCGGATTGGGACTCTCTTCACATCACTGAGGGACCAACGTATAAAACCATTCATCTCCTTGAACAGGTCACATCAACCTAATTGCTAACGTCGATCATTTTTAACTAGGATTTTCGAAACATGATTTAGATGCGATAAAAATTAGAAGTAATCTAAATTACTTTCCTTATTATTGAACACTAGTTTATTTGTTGCGTTGTTGTTTAGCTGCAGCATTTACACCTTCAGTTAGGAATCGCGGTGTCTTGGAGTAGGTTGTTTTTTTGTCGGCTAACTTCCTCAGTAAAAGTACACATGTCGAAAGTGATCCACTACTACTTGATTTGGTAAAACAAAGATTATTAAAGAACTCCGACTATTGGATATAACAGTCTTTAGCTAGGAGGGTGTTATTTCAGAGTAACCAAAATTGCCGAAATATTTCTAGTATCAGATGAGATGGATGCTTTTTTCATCTAGCAAAGTTAGTTAGTTAGCACTTACGACTTACAAAATTAGAAGGGACCGTAAGACCGTAAAAAATATAAGGAGTCGAACGTGACTCTTTCGCACACAGGTTAGGTTTAAAGTAGTGATTTGCTATAGCTCCATCTGTGCATAAATTCCTTATCTAAACTTTAGAAGTGCTTCCTTTAAATATGTAGATAATGTTGAATGTCAGTTCTTGTAATTGCACGTGACAAGGGTCAGCCATACGCTGAAGGATCGATCCGCTGAATGATTTGCATCCCTCTTCAGTTAGCTATACAGCATAGTACCCGGATATTCGTTTGCTGAGTGCACATTTCGTGTGGCCAGTATAACCTACACAGAAGCAAGTAAACTGAAAAACATACATTGAGGTGTCCTAAAGGGGAGGTTTATCTTTGACACGTAACTGGATGAAGTCCTTACTTGAGAAAAGAGTTCGGAGTTCCGCCGAATAAAACTTCGTTCTTAAAGATCTGAATAGCCTTTTCTTTATTATCTCTGCAACTGTATCTCCTTTGTTCATAAATAAAACTTTCTTAAAGCTTGTGAGAGTACTTCCAAGTTGGCATTTTGAGCTCAAACTATTCTTCCGTAGTATTTGTTGAATTTTATTCAGCTCACCATCGATTGCGTCTTCCGTGTATATTCGTCTTGTTCTTGAGGATAGAGGACAAACTAGGTTCATGTTCCTAGTCAATATCACCCAACTGTGGGAATTTGTATACTTTTCATTCGAGGTTGACTTTATGAATATTGATAATCGTAGTCATCCATCTAATCTTCATCTCAGTAAAACACTAAGAAAACAAAGTTTTATTAGTCACTTTTCGTCATAAATGATGAATATACCACCCATAAATCTTTTATAAAAACAAGATTTATCGATCGTTGTTCGAACAGTAGTGTTATCTATCACAAAGTGAATAGACTTGATTTCATGAGTCCAACAACAAACGTCACTGTATTGGGAAAGAAAATGATGTTAAACTTCAGTTCTCTGTTCACAATTCTCACCGTCACAGAAACAGTTTGTTTCCTATACGATCATGCTGACTATAACAAAGTCAACATCGAAGTTGAAAACACTACCTAAAAGATCTACTACTAGACAAATAGATCGTGTTGCATCGACAGCATTGGGTCCTCTTCTAGTGAACTGTTTTTTGGCCAACCTACAGAACATTGTCCTCCGAGCAACAATCGATAAATTTAATTTTACTAAATGATGCAATATTCATTTTATTTAATACTTGAAAACTTTCAGCAACTAATTATTCTGAACTAACGCGCGCCCTTGTTTATAAACTGCTCTGTCCAACATATCAAGCCTTGATGATCTTTGATTATTTTACGAAATGGCACAACACAACTTCAATTTTATAAACTTTCTCACTTGATACTTGAATGCTTGTGATTATCGTTGGAAAGTTTGTTTTATTTTATTGTCGACTAATAAATGTAAAGAATTACCTATAAATACAATTGTAAAGCTCAATAAAATTGATATCATTGAAAAGAAAGTTTTCTTCGCTAAAATAGCATTCTTTTTTATTAGTCAGTGGGTTTCGCTTTTATTCAGTATATGTTTATCAAAATAATGTTTTATATTTGACTAACTTCGTAGTTACAATTCTTGTCTTACAGAGGTTATTTTTTATTTCTTCGAAACAACTGACATTCAACTAGTTTAGATGACTACATACCCGTTGAATATGATGTTGCAACACTTGGTAAGTCTGATACAAATCTGTGTCACTATTTTGTAAGATTCCAATAATAATTTAGCTTAACACTTAGAATTCGCACTATTTGAAAAATGCCTATGTATAAAAATGTTACTGGTGCTGTAATGTCTTGGTTACTGATTTTGTCATTTGTTCGATTGATGGTTTGTGCGTGTGTTGATTACTGTTTTTTCTTTACGAAACGAAAAGTATTCTAGTTATTCAGTAAACAGAAAATACAACGTATGATCTAATACAACTGAGCATCGTTTAGTTAGTATCATGCACTGTACGGTAGTATCTGAATGTGAGCATAAGATGTTGAGCAGAACGGAAGTTATTAAGCTATAGATTGATCAAAAGCTAAAGATAAATGTGTTGTGAATTTAAGCCCGGCTAGTATCACGTAATTTATTCACAAATCGAAATACTACTTATACAATCTTAGCACTGTGCCAAACCGATGACGTTCGAGCGGTATGAGTAGCCTAGTGTCCTTATTGGTCGTTTGTGCTCCTAGCCCATCCATTTGAGTCCAGAACATGAATAACAGCTCATACTATGCAAATCATTTATTTAAAGCATACTTGGTTCATATACCAAACAGACAGATCACATCGCACCATAAAATAAGGAATAACATTTGTACAAGATCAAGCCAAAATGTGGCTGTGAAC